GTGTAGAAAAGAAACTTTTATTTAAAGAAGGGAAGTAACTCGGCGTTAATTTGGAAAAACACCACAAACAGGGTTCATAAACATAAACCATGAGTAAAAGACCCACCCCCAAGGAAGTTGGGCAGTGCCCTTTTCTCCTAAGGTTCTTAAGTCCAGCAACCGAAAAGCTCCTTTCACGTGCCTGACCCTTCTCTGAAGGCCACTCACAGATGCTGCCCTTGTCAGTTGAGACCCATAGTTCAGCGGTGCATCTGCAGAGTTCACCTCCCCACCACCCTGGGTGGGGTAAAGAGGTACCTTACTCGCTCCGCTGCTCAGGCACTCACTTGCTGCCCCTCTCTGCCGGCCACCCTGCCAGCTGCTCACCCGCTGCTTCCGCAGGCCACCTGCTCACTGCGCCTCTCCATCAGCCGCCCTGCTGGCTGTCTGCTCACCGCTCTCGCCGGGCCGCTCCACCAGACCAGCCACTCATTCACCAGCTGACTATCGGTCGCCATCTACTGCCACCTGCCTCGGCACAGCAGTCTCTTAGTAATTTTCAGCTCTTGGCAGGCTCAGCAGAAACACTGCCCCCTCTCAAGTGATTTCAGCTCTCAGTGGTTTTAAGCTCTTAGCAGGCAGGGCAGAATCACAATCCTACCACAACTGATTTCAGCTCTAATTGGGCATTTACCATAACAAACAGGCTCCTAATGAAGCCTATTTAGCTCTATCCTTTGAACAAGGGGGAGGAACAGGTTAAACCAGTCTAGGGAAGACCTTTGAGGGTATGCAGCCTTCTAGCCAGAGATACCTGTCCCCACCCCCTTAATAGCACAGAGCTCTGACATTAGAGGCCCTGGCTTAACGAGGTTCTTTCAACTGAGGGTGGCCCCCTCACTTGGGACTGGTTAGGCACAGTCCTGCTTTCCTGTATTCCTACAATAATTACAACATTGGTAACCATATTTCACTACCTCTGCATTCAGTACTAAGGTGATTTGTACCCAACACCCGCCAAAGTTGATCACTTTGACACTGCTGTATCTGATGAATATGTAAATAGAGCAGGAGCAAACTGTATTTACATAAACAGACCCAAGTCTCTCCCCCTCCCAGCTAGCTGTCAGGGAAGCATTCATTCAAACCCAGCTTACACACGTTCTAAAATCCTGGCCGATGGCTAACAGAAATGCTCACTCCTTTGTACTCCAGCCGGCTCTGAATAGCGGGAGCTGGATTTAGTTCCTTCTTGTGCATCATCAACAGCACCTTTTCTGCTTGCAATGAGGTTGGTGTAAGTTGAGGGTGCTCAGAGCCGTGCATCATCAAGCCCAAAAGGGGGACACTTGGGGCGCAATCCAGCAAACACCTGCACACACAAGTAACTTCTGCAAGACAGGAACCACATATGGAAATTACCGTGAGGCAATAAGGCCTGGAATCCCAAGAGCTCACTCGGACCATGTCACTTTTCAAACCAGAATTGCACTTTCAGGAATTAAAAGACATACAGAAACCCTGAGCGACTGGGTTTTCTCAGAGAAGGGCAGGAGATGGGAGAGGAATTGCCAGATACTCATTATTTGTTCAAAACATAGTGCTGAAGACACATGGGCCAGACCTCTACTGATGCAAATCGGCCCCATTTAAGACAATGGAGCTACGCCAGAGCTAGCACATGGCATGTGAAGTTACATTCCTGGATTAATGTTTGAACAGCCTTTGAAACATGCAAGGCCCTAGACAACAGCTGAGAATGATGATTAACTTTGTACTTCGGTGGACTAGAACAAGTCAGTGTTGCATTCTGATAGACTGGAACTCTTTGGGGCAAGGGCCTTGCCTGCGTATGTGTGTGACAAGCGCCCAGCACAATGCGGTCTGACGCCAATCTAAGCCTCTGGGCAATATTGTAACATAAAAGAAAAATATTTACAAGCCCAAAGTGGAACCTGGTGCCTTGTCGATCACCATGAATGTCTGGGGAGGCTCCTCACCACCTGCCTTTGTCTGGCAGTGACATTTACAAATGTTATATGATGCAGACATTGAATGGCCCCTGGTCCCACACACCAGACAAAAGGCCCCAGAATGGCCCTTCCTTCTTACCCTAGAGCAGGGACCTGCCCAAGGTGGGCGTAAGAGTTAGACACAGTAAAGGGGGAGGGGATAAGGGCTGAGTCTATAATCCTGCCTTCAATGGCACGGCCCTAGCACCCTGTTCCTCCAGCAGGCAAGCTCCTGCCCCTCCCTCAGAGCCACAGACCGATGTCGCCCTCTGTCAAAGAGCCCAGCGGTAACACTCACTCCTGAGAGCTACTCTTCTCCCTTGTTAGCTGCCTCAGCCCACAATCACACTGGTCGGATGCTCTCTGTTGCTCCGGAGAGGCCATGTGCTCCAGGGGAGAGGGCACTGGGCTGGGACTCAGGAGACCTGGGCTCTACTTCCTGTTCTGCTACTGACCAGCTGTGTGACCTCAGGCATGTCACACTGTCACCCCTCACCCTTTGCCTCTCTGTCTATCTAGACTGTAAGCCCCTTTGGGCAGAGGCTGTCTCCCACTGTGCGTGTGTTACAGCAACTCCCACAGCCCTGATCAAAGCTGGGGCCTCTAGTCATTGCTAATAACAAATGAAACACAAGAGAGAACAAAGTAACAGTCCCTGAGCTGTAGGAGCCAGGTTCAGTCTGCGTGGAGATTCGGACCCTGACCTCTTGTCTTTCTAGCCTAATGTTGTCACACGCGGCCGCTGGGGACGTTGGAGGAGAAAAGCTGGTAGGTTTATTAAGCGAAATTGCTGGAACGTCATTGCTACCGGTCTCAAGTTGATCGGCTAACAAGATCCAGAGAGAGAGGAGATGAGAGCAAGCCGATGCTCCAGACCCAGCTGTGCCGCCATTTCTCCTCCTCTGGAAACACCATGAGAAGCAAGGCTTATAACAATCTGAACAGCTTCAGAGTATCTGCTTCTACCTACCGCTTAGCCACTCTTTCAGTGCTGCTCACCAGGGCTCCTCTGCATAATAAATTGGCATTCTGCAAATCTATACTGTTGTCCTCTTCTTCCATATTGAAGGAGGAGATCAGGGACATGAACTGAAGTGAGTCACCTGATTGTGCTACTGGCCAAGGAAAGACCCCGACTAAGAGTCATATGCCATCCTCGTTAAGCAGATCCAACCCCTGCCCAATTGCAACTGAGATCCTGACACTAAGACCCAACTTGTTAAAAGTGACTAGCAATTTTGGGTGCCCAATACAGACGGCCTCAAAGTGGCCTGGTTTTCAGAAAGTGTTGAGCCGCCACCCTCTGAAAACGAGGCCCCTTTAATATCTTTCTCATTAGACATCCAAATTTGGAGCCATCCAAAATCAACAGTCACTTTAGAAAAGTTACAGCCCAGGGCAAGTAATGCTTTACAGAGTAGGACTTTCATTCATCCACCACTAGATGGCACCAATTGGCCTCAGATGCAGTAAAGGGAATGGGTGTAACTAGCACACACATCACTGAGGATCTTAACTGGATTAACAGTCACATCCATCGTGGATTCCCTCAGCCTCCCTGATTTACTGCGGGTTCCAGCCAGAAAGTGGGTAACACCCTCTGCCCTATTGGTTTTATGAAACAGATAGCCCCATAACCCCCAAATAAATCACTTCCCGTAAGTTTAATACACTCCAGCAAGGAGGGACTGAGTGCGTCCCATGTTAAAGGCTTGATGGTCACAGGTTCCTTTGCAGACTTGGGGTGAAATTTCCCCTAAAGAACAAGCTGGGGCTGCCCCAAAGGTTTCTCCCAACCAGGCACACCCGTAGAGTTCAGGCTCCTAGCTTTCAGCGTGGTGTTGATAATGAGAGAGGACCCTACAGCTCCCTTCCCACCTCCCAGTACGAAAACCAAAAGGGACCAAATCCCACAGCAGGGTCATTAAAGGGACAAATTCCATCAGACTGAAAACCCTCGAGCTCTTTGGCCTGACAACAAACCTGATTCTGCCGCCCTTATGCTCTAGCCTTAAAACCCTATGAATTTGGAGTCATGAGGGACAGGAAGTCTAGTGAGATGCCAATATGACGGCATCAGGCGCGCTCTAGTGACCTGAAAACCATAAAGTGGAAACATGGACAAATTGCTAAGGATGAGTAGAAAAGAACAACCCAAGTATGTAGGGAGAAAACCAGGAAGGCTAAGACACAAAATAAGTTACACCTAGCGAGGGACATACCAGGCAATAAGAAGAGGTTCTAGAGGAGCTAGAGTAAGATGAAGGAAAATGCAGTTCTGCTATTTAAGGGGGAAGGAGAGCTAATAATGGATGATACCAAGAAGGCTGAGGTGTTTGATGCCTATTTTGCATCAGTTTTCACTAAAAGCATTGATTGTGACCAGACACTAAACAAGCAGGGGGAAGGAACACAAGCCAGAATAGAGAAAAACAGATTAAAGAATTGTCAGGGTTCCTTCCCCACTCTAAACTCTGGGGTACAGATGTGGGGACCCGCATGAAAGATCCCCAAGCTTATTTTTACCAGCGTAGGTTAAAAACTTTCCCAAGGCACAAATTCCACCTTGTTCTTGAATAGTATGCTGCCACCACCAAGTGAGTTAGACAAAGATTCAGGAAAAGGACCACTTGGAGTTCTTGTTTTCCCAAAATATCCCCCCAAGCCCTTCATCCCCTTTTCTGGGGAGGCTTGAGAATACTCTACCAACCAGACAGGTAACAAGGTGAGCACAGACCAGGCCCTTGGGTTTTAGGACACTAAAACCCAATCAGCGTCTAAAAAAAACAGACTTTATTATAAAGAAAGAAAAAGTAAAAGAATCACCTCTGTAAAATCAGGATGGTAAGTACTTTACAGAATAACAAAAGATTTAAAAAACACAGAGGATTTCCCCTCTAGGCAAATCTTTGAAGTTACAAAAGCAGGGATAAACCTCCCTCTTAGCACAGGGAAAATTCACAAGCTAAAACAAAAGTTAATCTAATGCATTTCTTTGCTATTACTTACTATTTCTGCAATACTAGATGCTTAGTCCAGATATGCTTGAGGAGATGTATTTTTCCTGCTCTGGTTCCTTGCTGACTCGAAGAGAACAAAAACAAAGACACAAACAAAAACCTTCCCCCACAGATTTGAAAGTATCTTCTCCCCTTATTGGTCCTTCTGGTCAGGTGTCAACCAGGTTATCTGAGCTTCTTAACCCTTTACAGGTAAAAGAGGAATTAATCCTTTATAGGGTAAAGAGGGATTTTATGCTACCCTTAGCTGTATGTTTATGACAAGAATATTTAACTACGTTAGATGTATTCAAGTTGTCAAGATGCCATTTACCCTAAGGTACGTAACAAACTAGCTGAAGGAATCTTTGAACCAGTAGTGATTATCAACCAGAACTCATGGAGGATGGGTGGGGTCCCAGAGGACTACAGAAGGGAAAATATGGTACCTCTCTTTAAAAAAGGGAACAAAGAGGACCTGAGGAATTACATACCAGTCAGCTTAACTTCGATACCTGGAGGTTACACAAACAGACTATTAAGCAATCCATTTGTAAGCACCTAGAATATAACAGCATGATAAATAATAGACAAAATAGATTTGTCAAGGAGAAAATGGATTTCTCATCAACAAATCATGCCAAATCAAATTTCTTTCTTTCTTTGTCAGGTGACGGCCCCTGTGGATACGGTGAAGCAGTCGATGTGATGTATCTTGATTTCAGTAAAGCTTTTTACACAGTCCCACGTGACATTCACATAAGCAAATGAGAGATGTGTGGTCTAGACGAAACACTATAAGGTGGGTGCAAAACTGGTTGAAAAAACATACTCCCAGAGTAGTTTTGAATGTTCACTGTTGAATTAGGAGGATCTATTTATCTGGATTCTCCAGAGGCCTGTCCTGGACCCAGTACTATTCAATATTTTCGTTCATGAGGTGGATAATGGAGTGGAGAGGATGTTTTAAAAAATCTGCAGAGGACACCAAGCTGAGAGGGGTTGGAAGCACTTTGCAGGACAGGATTAGAATTCAAAATCACCTTGATAAATTGGAGAACTTTTCTGAGATCAAGAAGATGAAATTCTGTAAAGATAAGTGCAAAGTACAACACTTAGGGAGGAAAAATCAAATGCACAAATAAATAATGGGGAATGACTAGCTAGGTGGTAATACTGCAGAAATGGATCTGGGGTTACGGTAGATCACAAACTGAATATGAGCCAATGACAGGGTGCTGTTGTGAAAAAGGCTAATACCATTCTGGGGTGTGTTAACAGGAATGTCATATGTAAGAGCCAGGAGGTAACTGTTCCATTCTACGGGGCACTGGGGAGACCCCAGCTGGGGGGCTGTGTCTAGTTGTGGGTGCCACACTTTAAAAAATACATGAACAAATTGGAGAGAGACCAGATGGGAGCAATCAAATTGATAAAAGGTTTAGAAAACCTGACCTATGAGGCAAGGGGGAAAAACTGGGCATGTTTGGTCTTGAGAAAAGAAGACTGAGGGAGACCCGATAACAGTCTTCAAATATGTTAAGGGCTGTTCTAAAGAGGGTGGTGATCAATTGTTCTCCATGGCCACTGAAGGTAGGACAAGAAGCGATGGTCTTTATCAGCAGCAAGGGAGAGTTAGGTTAGATGTTAGGAAATACTTCCTAACTCTAAGGATAGTAAAGCGCTGAATAATAATACCTGCACATTTAACATTCCCCCACCCCCACCCCTCTTCTCCTTCCTGGGCACTCACAATAGAAGCACACACGAAACATACCAGGAGTCACCCACCAGTCTTATGGGGTCCCTAGTAGGCCAAAGTGTCTCCTACCCTTCTGCACAGGCTGGGACAGTAGGCCCTGTCCGTTTGCTGGATCAGAAACAATGTCAGTTTAAACTCAGCCTTTTTATACCAAAAGCCCTTTCTTCAATTGTCTCTGGAAACCCCAGTTTGAACCAGTGTAGGGTTACCATATTTCAGCAAGCAAAAAAGAGGACGGGAGGAGCCCCGCCCTAGCCCCGCCCCTGCCCCTCCCACTTCCCGCCCCCCAGAACCCCCAACCCTCCCCCCGTTCCTTGTCCCCTGACTGCCCCCTCCTGGGACCCCTGCCCCTAACTGCCCCCCAGGACTCCACTCCCTATCTAAGCCTCCCTGCCTCTTGTCCCCTGACTGCCCCAACCCTTATCCACACCCCC